TCATACTTCTTGGGGAACTTAAAGAAACAGAATAAAACATTTTCCCATCGTAAAGAAAACTCCCTTAAAATATGGGTCAATGGTCAATACTGACACTTTGTCCTCCTGACAGACGGTGGAGGTAAAGTTTACGGCTCCACGCTGCCCCCTGCTGGTTCGGAGGAATCGGAGGTGAGTGCGGCTGCTTAGACAGAATATTTTAACACAGAACCTGATGGAGGACGATCTAAACTGAATCTGAAATTCATAATGCGTGCTGCATATTTTCACCTGTGCGTGCATGAAATCTCTCTGCCTCATCAGGATGACGATGAGGAGTTTGCTCCAGAGAACGTGACCTTTGCCCCGAAGGATGTAACTCCGGTGGACTTCAACCCTAGGTTGGGAGTTCAGGGTTTGGGGTACCGCGGTCTGGACCCGAGCCTGGCGTTGCTGGGTCACGGCACGGCTGAACACATCGATCTGTTTAAACCTCAGTCTGAGACGAGGAATCGCCTGTTCGGAGACACGAAGAGCAGCTCGAGGAGAGGAGGAGTGGTCGGACAGGTGAGCCCACAAACCCCAGAAGTGTTTTTGGTTGTCTTTTTTAAATGCAAAGTGTTTGGCTGCTGACCTTTGACCTGCAGGCCTTCGGCGTGGGTGCGTTAGAGGATGACGATGAAGACGTGTACCACAGAGACTCTATGTCCAGATACGACACAATCCTGGGAGAAGAGGAGCCGGGCGACAGCCTGTACGGCTGGACGGCCCCGCAGCAGTACACTAAGAAGAAAGGTAACGCTTCCTGGGAAAACCTGGAAAGTTCCAGGCATTTTTTAAACCAGTCATTAAGCTTTTTCACACAGAGAAGCTCTTTGTCAGGCAGCCTTATTTTAGAGCATTTTTAATACTTTCTCCACCAGAGAGAGGTATATTTTAGTTTTTTTAATTATTAAAGAATAATGTCTTTCTTTTGTCCATGAAAAACTGAAATGAAAGCAATTATTTGGATTTTTTTCCCTTCCAGACAGAAGTAAAGATGCTTCGTATCTCGGCAAAATCCTGGAAGGATTCACTCTGGCACAGAAACCCCTCGAGGAAAAAACAGTGAGGAGCTTCAAACCATCTCATCACGTGTCCTCATCACTACCTGGACACACGCCTCATGTTTCTGTATCTGTCTGTAGATCTTCCCGCCTCCCTGTCTGCCTCGCGATTATCGTCCAGTCCATCATTTCCGTCCTTCGGTCGATGTTTCACATCTTTCCGGGGTCAGCCCCGCGTTGGCCGAGGCTCTCCGGGTGTCCAAAGGCCACATGGTCAAAGAGGAGCCCCAGCAAGCAGGACGCCACCAGCTGGACTCTGGCCAGAGGAGGGCGCTGCTGGGAGAGGACGCCCTGCAAGGTCAGAGATGGCTGAAAAATGAAGCAATCACAGAAGTGCAAAAAACAACAGATGAGGAAAATTAAAAAGGGTTGAAACTATATGTAGTTTTTCTAGATTAATTAAAAATGTAGGATAATCAGGACATCGTGTCCCGTTCTGATGGCAAGTGCGTTAATGCTGCTGGTGATTTTTCCCAACTTCATCCCAATCAGGTCCCAGTTCAGTCATGGAGCTGCTGAGGCCCGAGGACAGGCAGCGCCTGCTCAGCTTCCGCAACTCCTCTAACCCGCCCTCGGCCACAACCTCCACCCCCGTCTCCAGTCGTGCCTCGCAGACATCAGGGAAGTCGGCACAAGTGCTGCCTGCCTCCTCCGGCCTCCAGCAGGAGGCTCTGGCTGCGTGGAGAGGCGTCCAAACATCGTCGCAGACCTTCAAACCGTTTGAGAAAAACCCCAGCAAGCAGGCACGCTACGAACTCTACCTGAGCCGTCTCAAGCAGGGAGACAATGGTACGAGGCTCCGCCCTGCAGGTCCCATCATGCACTGCAGGATCCTTTGATATAGTTGGTACAGTTTTAGTTAAACCACAAAAACCATCATTAACCGTCTGGGGTCGCCGAACGCGTCAAAATCACATGACCAATTTAAGACGACACAGCTACAAGATGCAGCGACTCTGAGTCTCCATTTCAAGTTGGGTCGAAAGTGCTGACTTCAAACTATATACCAGTTTTTGAATTGTGTCGATGGGCCACGTAAAACCAGAGTTATGATAAAAAATACACGCGATGTTTTTTTCTGAACAAAACAGCGGCGTTTACAGCGGGAAGAACGGTAAAAATGGCGTTTTCTACGCACAGCACTCGCAAACACTCTCCGCTTACGAGTGAAGAAAGAAAAACACCCCTTCCCTATTGGTGTTAGAGTTTACCATGTCAGCCAATCAAAAAATGATATGGCAACATGGGCACTTGGTTGCTTAGGGAGAAGGGGAAGATTAATGCCGGGCTCACACTGTGCGATTTTTTTT